TTTGGTATTTTTGAGACAGGGTCTCCCTGTAGCCCCAGCTGTCCTGGAACTCACTGTGTAGACCAGGCTGGCCTTGAACTCACAAGAGATCCACCTGCCTCTGCCTCCCGAGTGCTGGGATTAAAAGTCATCCGCCACCACACCCAGCTTCATTGCGAAGATTTTAGTGTGTCATCTTTATTCTTTCCATACTTAGATACATCATGTGTGCATTTTTAATCATAATTGGTATCATAGACTATAGTGGTCTCTTAATCAACGTTGGTTAGTACTAAGGGTTGTCCCATACTAAAACCTTCAGATATAGGTATGGTGGCACACGCCTGTGATCCCAGCCTTGGGAGGCTGAGGCAGGGTGACTGCTAAGGGTTCAAGACCAGTCTGAGCTACAGAGAGAGTTCCAGGACAGCTTGGACTATGGAGTGAGTCTGTGCCTCAAAACACTGAAAGAAAAAGTCCTCAAAATAACTTTCCTTTTAAAAAGATTTTTACATTTCCAACAGGAGCACATAGCAAATTTCAGTACATAGCACATCCAAAACCATGGGCTACATGAGGCCTGTTTCAAAAAACTTTTTTTCATGTCAGGCATCATGGAGCACGCCTGTAGTCCCAGCACTTGGGAGACAGAGGCAGGTGGATCTCTGTGAGTTCAAGGCCAGCCTGGTCTACATTGTGAGTTCCAGGCCAGCTAGGGCTACACTCTGCCTGGCCTGGAACCCACACTGTAGACCAGCCTGGCCTGGAACTCATAGAGATCCACCTGCCTCTGCCTTCCAAGTACTGGGATTAAAGGTTTTTGCCACCATTTGTTTGTTTGTTAATTTATTTTTATTTTTTATGTGTGTGAGTGTATTGCCTGCATGTATGTTAGTTCACCCGTGTCATGCAATGCCCATGGAGGTCAGAAAAGGGTGTTAGATTCCCCTGGAACTAGAGTTGTGGATGTTGTTAGTCGACATGTGGGTGCTGGGAATCAAACCCAGGTCTTCTGCAAGAGCAGCCAGTGCTCTTAGCCACTGAACCATCATCTCTCCAGCCCTAATGCCTGGTTTTCTAAAATGTACTTAAAAGGGGACTTTATTGGCTTTAGCTAGCCAGGTGATTCCAAGTGCCTTTGATAGCTGGCTTCTTCTATTCCAGTCTTTCTGATATGAACTCTCAGGTCACACATTGTATGTCACAGAACAATTACATATGCACATATATACACACACATGTGTTTGTATAGGGGTTGCAGAATGGCTACAGAAGGACCTTACTGGAGGCAGAGCTGGAACGGTGATAGAGATGTAATATAGTCACTGGTGTGTTGAGATGGCACACTCACAAATCCAGGTGGAGAGCTTCTGGACACCTTGCCAAGCTACAGGGTCTGGGGGTTGAGTCAAGGCCTCAGGGTTGAGGCATGCTGCAGAGGTGATACACAGGACCATGGAGCCCGTAGAGCAAGGTACAGGACCAGGTCTAGACAGACAGACAGAGTGGGCCATGTTGGCATTGCAGACTGAGCTGAACTGAAGCCCCTAAGACAGTTAGCTCTCTGTCCCTTGATGAACAGCAATAGTCAGAGTTGGTGCCCTTGTGTTCTCTATGTGGAATCCAGGTGAGGATATCACGCCCTTCTGTGGTCTGGTGTGTTGAATGAGTTTATAGCCTGGTTCTGCTGTAGGGTTTTGGTACACCCTTGTGCTCAGGGTCCCAGTAAGTTCATAGTGTGGTACCTTTTTAGTTTTAGTGAATTCTGTCTGTGTCTCGAGGGTGGTGCTGGACAGATGGTACAGAGCCACCCTGCCTCCACATATGCACTCAGATGCTGTTTTGTGAAATGGAGTCACCCAGGGCAAGGCTCAGCCTGAAGCCACTATTCCACACAGTGTGCAGGCAGAACACAAAGGCTGCCCTGTAGTGTCTTCTCCAACCTCTCACATCCCCTTCAAGGCTGAAGATAGGCATTATCCTAAACCTACAGTCACCTTGGACTACAGGACTAGAAAAATCTTGGTGGACAGAGTTCCTCTCTAGATGAAGACATTTAACTTTGTCAGTGAGGCAGGCTGCACCCTGGAGCAGAAATAATCATCTCCAGAGAATCACTTTGTCCCTCAAGCAATAAGAACTTCTTTTCAGACCACCTTTCAGGACTGGAACTGAGCCAGTGATCAACAAGACCACACCTAGACCAGGACTGCCTAACTGTGCTAGCTCTTATTTGAACCCAAAGCTCATGTTAGTACTCTGAAGACACACAAGGTCACTGGACCCTTTTTATCTTTCTCTGTTTTTGGTGTTTGGAGACAGGGTCTCATGTATCCTAGGCTGTCACTGAATTCAGTGTGTTGCTGAAGATGGCCCTGAACTCCTAATCCTCCTATCTCTACCTCCCAGGTAGTATATGCCACCAACACTTAGTCACTCTGGGTTGGGTGGCCAGACCTAGCCTAGTGTGACTATAGGAGCCCAGATTTTTGCCCTAAAAGCTACATTACAGACTTTGGTACAAGTGTCTGATGCCTAAAAGATGTCTGTCTTTTCCTAATAGCCTATCAAGGTTGCCATCAGAGTTTTAGGGCAAACCCCTGGTATAGTAGCCCCTAAAGGCTGTGCTCAGCACCTGTCCCCATAGGCCAGTTAAAGAGTCAGTATGGTTGAAGCAGAAAAAGGATACTTAATCAGCATGTTGGGGAGAGTAACCAAGGAGCCCAGTGGCCCCAAGTGTATCTTTTTCTTTAGGCATTCACTGTCACTGAACCAAGTATCGACAAGACTTCAGATGCCTTGCTGTGCTTTACAGGGTTGTTGGCAGTGTTTTAGCCCCTAGGTGATGTTCTTTGCTGTCTGGTTTTGTTCATTACACCATCCAAGAGAAAGTTTGCAGAGCTGGAGAGATGGCTCAGCAGTTAAGAGCACTGACTCCTCTTGCAGAGGACCCGGGTTCAATTCCCAGCACCCACATGGTGGCTACAAACTGTCCTTAACTTCAGTTCCAGGGGAATCCAAAGCCCTCTTCTGATCTCCCCAGCAATGCATGACAACGGGTGCACTCACACACATGCAGGCAATACACTCATAAAATAAAAATAAGTAAAATATTTTTTTAAAAGAGAAAGTTTTAGCTGGGTGTGGTGGCGCATGCCTTTAGTCCCAGCACTTGGGAGGCAGAGGCAGGTGGATCTCTGTGAGTTCAAGGCCAGCCTGGTCTACATAGTGAGTTCCAGGACAGCTGGGGCTACAGGGAGACCCTGCTTCAAAAAGACAAAAATAAAAAAGAGAAAGTTTGCACAGCATGGCCTTAGATGTTGGAGGATTTATATGTATGTGGCTCTGCTGTGAACCTTCCTTTCCTTGTCCTAGGTATTCCTGGAGTGGACAGCCTCTCTTTTTGACCTGCCCCACATCAGAAATATCTGAGATCCCAGCCTGTGGCTCCTGTGGAGGCCAGAGGACATTTGAGTTTCAGCTGATGCCCGCACTGGTCAGCATGCTCAGCAGTGCTGATTTAGGTAAGATACCCTCTCCTCCTTCAAGTTTGTCCATTTTGGACATTAATGTGAAATCAAGGAACATGTTTATTAAATATCATAGAATATTAGAGAAAATATGGGAAATTGTAAGAAATTTACAATCCAAAAAAATTCTAGTACAAACACTAATAATAACCTTTTTTGTTGGTTTGTGCTGAACAAGCTATTTCTGCTTTTTTTTTTTTTTTCCATCTTTTTTGACTAAAGGCATGCACCACCACGCCCAGCCCTTAATATTTTTGAGCACATTATGTATTTGTTTTATTTTATTATTTTAAGATAGATTCTTCTGTATCCCAGATCGACTTCGAACTTGACACATAGCTAAAAATACCCACGAACTTCTGATTTTCCTGCCTCTGTAAGATGACTCGGTAGGTAAAGTGCCAGTCTTGCAAGCCTAACAACCTGAGTTCAGTCCCCAGATCCCATGGTAGAAGGAGAAAACCAATTCCTGAAAGTTGCCCTCTGATACCCACAGGTGTACCCTGGCACACACTCAGCTACACTCTCAAACACATCCTACACACACATACACTAATAATTAAAAAAGAAAATTAAGGTGGGCAAGATGGCTCTGCAGATAAAGGCCCTTGCTATGCAAGCCTGGACTGAGTTTGATTCCCAGAACTCACCCCCATCCCCTCCACAAGAATTAATTAGATAAAAAAGTAAAAATAAATTGCCTAGCTGGGTGCAGGGTATGTATTTATAGTCCTACCTGTTTGAGAAGCTGAGACAGGAGGATTGCTTGAGGCTAGCCTGGGCAGCACATAGTAAGACTGTTTTTAAAAAAAGAAAGGTTAGAGAGGCTACAGGGGAGGCTTAGTGGTTAAGAGTGCCTGCTGTTCTTTCAGAGAACCCAAGCTCAGTTCGTAAGATGCACATGGCAGCTCACAGCTGCCTGTAACTCCTGCTCCAAGGGATCTGATGCCACTAATCTCCAGCATCTGCATTTTGGTGTATACAGACACCGATGAATACACATAATTAAAAAAAAAACAAACAACAAAAATTAGTACTGGATGTGGTGGCATGCATCTTTAATCATAACCTGGGAAGCAGAGGAAGGCAAATCTCTCTGAGTTTAGGGCCATCCTGAAAGAAGTTCAAATTAGGATATACCTCAAGTTCAATCCAAAATTAAAAATAGTTAAAAATAAATTTAGATGGCCCAGCAGTTGAGAGCACTGGCTGCTCTTGCAGGGGACTCAGTTTGGTTCCCAGAACCCACATGTTAGCTAACAACTGTCTGTAACTTCAGTTCCAGGGAATCTTATGCCGTCTTCTGATCTCTGTAGGCATTGCATGCACAGATGCACTTGAATGCATGCAGGCAAAACATGCATATACATAATGCAAAGATAAATAAAGAAGCCAGGTGTGGTGGTGCACGCCTTTAATCCTAGCACTCGGCTGGTAGATCTCTCTGAGTGGGAGGCTAGCCTGGTCTACAAAAAGACCAAAAAATAAATAAATTAATTAATTAAATTAAAAAAATAAATTTGTTTTTGTTGTTTTTGAGTCAGGGTCTCCCTGTAGCCCCAGCTGTCCTGGAACTTGCTATGTAGACCAGGCTAGCCTCAAACTCACAGAGATCTCCCTGCTTCTACCTCCCCATTGCTGGAATTAAAGGCATGAGTCACTATGCCTGGCAAAAAATAAACTAAATTTTAAAAATTGCTTTCTAAATGACTTGTCATTACTCTTTTTTAGGATTTTTAAAGAAAAAAAATTTTTTTAATTATTTATATTTTATGTGTATGAGTGTATTGCCAGCATGTATGTGAGTGCACCTGTGTCATGCAATGCCGCAGAGGTCAGAGGAGGGCTTTGGATTCCCCTGGAACTGGAGGTAAGGACAGTTTGTAGTCTCCATGTGGGTGCTGGGAATCGAACCCAGGTCCTCTGCAAGAACAGTCAGTGTTCTTAACTGCTAAGCCATTTCTCCAGCCCCAGAAAAATGTATTTTTATAATAAAGAAATACAACATTTTAGCCGAGCATAGAACATGGAGGAACACTGCTTACTGGCTTGTTCCTTTGGCCTGCTTTCTTATTACAACCTAGGCCCACCTGCCCAGGGCTGGTACTGCCCACAGTGAGCTGGGCCCTTCCACATCACTGAACAATCAAGAGAATACCTGACAGACATGGCTACAGGCCAACCCAATGGAGATGATTGTCAGTTGAGGGTCCCTCTGCCCAGGTGTGTCAAGTGTCAAAAGAAGCTATTCAGCACATGTACCCAGTTGTGCAGTGACCATGCAAGAGGGTGTTAGAATCCCTGGAACTGGAGTTAAGGGCAGTAGTTGTTAGCCAACATGTGGGTGCTGGGATTAAAGTCATGCCAGCTTAATTATGTATATGTGTCTCTTAGTGTGGGTTTGTACATGAGTGCAGTGCCCTCAGAAGCCAGAAGAGGGTGTTGGATCCCATGGAGCTGGAGTTAGAGGTAGCTGTGAGCCATTTGATTGGTTGCTGGGAACTGAACTCAGGTCTTCTACAAGAGACATTTATTTTATGTGTAAGACTGCATGAATCTGTGCACTGTGTCCATGCAATGCCCGTGGAGGCCAGAAGAGGGCATCAGATCTCTTGGAACTGGAGTTAACAGCCGGTTGTGAGCCCCACATCCATGCTGGAGCCATCTCTCTACCCTCCCCCATTTTCCTTTTTATTTTTTTAATTTTTATTTTATTTTTTAAAATATTACTTTTATTTTATGTGTATGAGTGTATTGCCTGCATGTGTGTGAGTGCACCTGTGTCGTGCAGTGCCACGGAGGTCAGAAGAGGGCTTCAGATTAACTGGAGTT